CTGCTGCTCATCTTTTAACGGGTTCTAGATCACATCACTTCTGTTTTAGTTGACTTCCAGTGGCTGCGCACTTTTGCATTGATTTTAAGATTTGTTTACTTACTTTTAAAGTTTTAAATGGTTTGGCACCCATTTATTTATTGGCTCTGTTGCCCTTTAATTCACTAAACAGAGAACTGAGGTCCTCTAATCAGATGATTTTAGTGCAGCCAAGGGTAAAGCTGAAGCGTAGAGGGGACCAGGCTTTTGCTGTGGCGGCCCCAAGACTCTGAAACAACTTGCCTCTTGAGATCCATACTGCAGAGTCTGTTCAGGCTTTTAAATCTTGCTTGAAAACTCACTTTTTTACACTAGCTTTTAATTTGAGTTGTTTGAGTTACATCAGGAATTTATAATTGTCCTTTTTATCTATTTTTGGTTTGTTAGCAGTTTTAATTGTATTGTGTCTGTGAAGCACTTTGGTCAACACAGTTGTTTTTAATGTTCTATATAAATAAAGTGATGATGATGATGATGATGATGATGATGATGATGATGATGATGATGAAAAGTAGCAAAAGGCAAGTTTAACGTTTAAAGTGGCAAATCATACTTTTAAGCTGAAAGTTGCAGAACACTAACAAAAAAGCAAAAAAAGTTTAAGTAAAAATAGTAAAATGCTAGGTTAAAGCAGCAAAACATTAGCTTTAAGCTTAAAGTGCAAAATGCATGCTAAAAGTAAAAATAAAGGGAGCTCAAAGCTTTAAGTAGGAAAAAGCTAGCTGAAAGAAGAAAAAAATACAGACTTAAAAGTGCCTTTGACATGTATTTCCTATAAATTAAAAAAAAACTTCACACAATACTGTATTTAGGATATTTGACACATGATTTTACCCATATTGTTACATGACTGACACGGTTTGTTTTAAACTTCGAATAAAAAAGTGAAGATAAAGAAAACTTTCTGATCTTTGGCAGTTATTTTCATCTCTGACAGTGATTCGAAATAATCTAAAGAAACATCAGATTTGTCACTACTGTCTGTGTTGTTAGCCATTGTAGCAATGTTGTGTTTACATGCAGGTGYTCCTCTTTGTCGTCACTGTTAATGTGCATGTGAAAATCTCAACAACTGTTCATCTCAGCWGTGTTTTTTTTTTGCAAAAGGTTCTTAATTTTATCTTTTCAGTAATGCATTCATATTTATAACAAAAATTTGATGTCACAGGCCCTTTAAGATATCCCATGCAGGTTTTGCCCATTAGGAAACATGTCAATGTGTTTCGTTTTTCCATCCAAACTCTGTCAAATTCAATGAGCAATTCTTTTGTTTGCTGAGGCAGAGCAAGGCAGCAGATCAAGCCGATTGACCTGCTGATAATTGATTTAGCATTTTGTACAAATTGTTAAATTTATGTCATCTAATCTAATTTAGAGTGGGATCAAAATGCTCCATCTCTTTGATTAATGCAGAGGCGGTTATCTTTCATCAGTACTCGTCTGGGCAGGGAGGAGAGGAGGCGTTAGCGGGAATCCAATTTGGTC